AAACCATTTTGCTCTTGAATAGAGATAAAGGACTCAGCCTGGGCTGCAGGCTCCTCAGAGGATTTTGATCACTTTAATGGCTAGTTTTGCTGAATGCAGGTTGCTGTAATTGCTTGCGTCTAGCAACTCTAAGCATATTAGCTTAAATTTAGCTTAAGAAGATCTGTATCTACTGCAGTCACACCTTTGACTGCAGTGGCAACATGCCCTTCAGCATTTCATAGAAAGGTTCCCAGCTCTCGTTCTTGGCCACTCGATAAATTCTTCAAAACCACAATGTGCTGAACATCAAAACATAGTGAAAAGATCTTCTTTTTTTTTTTTCCTCTGACCTTTGCCAAGACAGTGTTTTCTGTTAAATGATGCAGTACCAATCGCCATTTTCAGAGCTCGGAGGATTTCAGTTTCAGAACACATTTAAAATGCATGTTTCTTTTTTCCCCCCTTTTTTTTGTTTTTGTTTTTTTTTTTTTTGTTCCTGTTGTATAGGTGTCCACAGCTAACAACAAATAAATAAAAAATCGTGGAGTGAAATCTAATCGTAAAAGTGCCTAGAGTTAAAAACACATTGTTCCCTAATGGAGAAAAAAAAAAAAAAATACACAGGAATTTACCATTTCGGCATACTGGGATTTAATTTTAAGGTTTAAGCAGATTTTAAGTATATTTAGGCAGTAGAAACTTAATTGCTGTTTTTGTTTTTTATTTTACTGTTTTAAACATTTATGCAATAATTTCCTAGTGCAGAAAAGACTTATTAGATTAACAAGTAACCAGCTGATTAAATCTTTTATTTCCTTTACAAAGATACAGCTCTGTTATTCTGTTGCTGTTTTAGTGTAGAACAGACTCCACTCTCTCTTTTCTGGTTTAGGAGGACATCTCTGGCACTCATACTAACTTGAATTATTTCCTGCACTTGTTAACCTTCATTTTCCTTTGGTGACAATGTTCCCTTTATCCTCTTGCATTTTTGGTTCTTGACCTCTGTATAACAAGACTTTGACAGCTTCATCCTTCCTATTGCCTGGCTTATCAGGGATTCATTAAGTGCAAGAGAACTTCACTCCTTGTTCTTCCTCAAAATGCAGAGATCTGTTCCCATGGCGTGTATTGCATTGTGGGAAAGGTCTTTCTCAGCCTTTTGGTCAGAAAAGTTTAGCCAGATGCAGAGGCGCAGCTTAGACACTTCTTTCATCCTGGATGACTGAAGTTTGACAATGTGATAACATCTAGGATCTGAAATGGCAAGATTCAGGTAATTTTAACAGGAAGGAGTGTCCCTCTGCATTTCAGACTGCTATCATCACTTGCGCCTCCACTATCAAACTGAATTTCCTTTCTTAGTGTATCAAGAGAATGTGAGAACACAGACTTTGCAAGGCACTTGTGTCAAAAACTTGAGCTTTGTTTAATCATGGATGGCTAATTTAATTCCAGTGTTGAACATCCATTCCTCAAAAATGGCTTTCTGGATAAATTTGACATTGTCTACACCCTTTGTGATGGCTTCAGCTGTCTGCTAAGTGGAAACGGTGGTTCAAAAAAGGGCTGGTTCAGAGCTACTGCTTGTGTCCTCTCCTGATCCTATGGCCTTAGAAGTCACTGGGTAAGTGTCCTGTGACTCCCACTTGTAACGCTGAAGTCGATGATGTGTATCAGGTAGGAATTTGGTTTCAAACTTGACACACAAAATGCAAATCTGGAGTAGGTGATTTTTCAGTTAGATTTCTACAGCTGAGATGATTGAAGATGAGTGAGCTGAATTTTAAGGCATGATCAAATACATTAGTCAAGACCTCAAGGGGCAGAATTGGATGATTCATCACATAATGAGATATTCTCAGTCAGAAAACACAAACCAACAGATATGACAGACAATTGGCCCAATTGACTGAATATGGCAACAGAGGGACAAATGCTCCTCCCAGAAGGTTGGATCTTCAGTATCAAAAAAGTGTATTATTTACATGATGCTAGTGCTAAATGAGATTACATGCTCCATTCAAGGTTTCTAATCACCTCTCTGTTCCTTGAGTGCTGAGGTTACCACAGTTAGAGCAAATGCTCATCTTTTAGTAAAAGGGTTTTCAAAATATTGATTATGGAGCGTAAATACAGTTAAAAGAACAGGAAAATTAAAGGCAGTCAGCAATTAGTCAAGTTTAGAACACTGAATTTCTTAATAACCCAAACTTAATTCAAGGCACTTAGTCTTTCACATGATTTCCACCAGAGAGATTTTTGCTAAATCTTCGTTAGAGCTTTGTGTTATTAACAATTGTGCATTTAGTGTCAGGCAATTTTTTAAGAATAAAGGTACCAGCTTGATCCAACCCAGTACTTAAACAGTGTGATACATCACATGTTCATTTACCATGTGCTTAATTGCTCTTTCCTAGGTAGTGTTTTATGGAATGGGCTTTTAAGACTTCCAATATTGTCTATATATTTTGCAAGATTAGACATGAAATGTGAATGCTCAATAGATACATCTCTGATTTTTTGGCCTGGGGCTTTAAGATTTACAGTGAAACTTACTTAAATGAATTACTCTTTGGAAAGAATACATTTCAATGTCAGCTAAAATGAAACATTTCTCTTTGTTGTATACATAAGAGATGTGATTGTTATCTGTGCTTAGGAAAAAAAAATAATCACAGCACAAATTTTCTCCCAGACTTTGAAATAAAAGCTGCATTTTTATATTAGTTGTACAACTACTAAACTGCCCATGTAACTTGGAGAGAGAAGACATAATATGGATGGAGGATGAAATGTCAGGTTATAAAGTCTCCTAATTAAGGGCTGACTCTCAGCTTGGGTTTGTACAGTAGGAAGTGCAGTGTAAGCCTTGCCACTGGGACAAGCATAAACTACTGGGTGCAAAAAAGGGACTCCAAAGTTTAGGATCCAGGTCTCTTGACTCCTTCCCTAGCCTTAATCTTGGTAATGAACAATAACTCTTTAAGTGTAATGTAAATAATGCGTATCTCCTTGACCAATGCAACATGACCTAATCCGACAAAAACGCACCCTACTGTTTTCTCCTTCGATTTCACAGCAAGTTGTAAACTTTCAGAATCAGGGATAATTCACTGAAACACACTGCGTATTAATTTCCTCATGTACACTGTTAAACTTCTCTGTAGGTTTGCGGGGTTTTTTTAATGTAGATTCTTTTTCTGAGGGATGTGACCCTCATTCAGTATTCCATTGGCCCCAGTCCTTTGTGTAATGACCGTTGTAAGGGTCTTCCTAGGTTATTGAAGAAGTTAGCTGTTCAGAGTGCCTCACAGACATATATCCCAAAGCAAATAAATAGATATACGTTTAGATGGAAAAAAGAATGGTAAACTAGTTCTGTGTCTTGTGTAAATGCAAAATACAGAAATCAAAATGGGAAAATTCCACTTCCCTCCATGGTATTAGTCATCATGAGAGCTTGAATGCAAATATAGAACTTCAATTTATTAAGGATTTGGCGATCTGAAACAAATTCCAATAGGATTTGAAAAGCATACGAGAACTTTGTCGAACAGATTACACCTAGAAATATCAGGTGTATGTTACCCTTCAAACGTTAGTTGTGAAAAGAAACCAAGGTACAAAAGCGATTAATGTTTTTCTGGTATGGAAAACTCCAGAAACTCCAGTCTTTTACTGTTTGATAATATAATTAGCCAGTGTTTTGACTAGACTGATTTGATAATGATGCATAGAAAAGGGCAATTTAATCTTGGCACAGTAACTAGGAATGTTTGCCTCATTGCTTTCTATGTCTTAATTTCTACTTTAGATTAAATGTCTTCAGCTTCTGAATGTTTTATATTAGAAACCTTCCTTTGCAAACCCTCTATTTTGAGCCACTAATTAATTTAATGCACAAGTTAGGTATATCATGGGATTGCAATAGATCAGGAACATATTTTTCTTCTCTTTCTGCATCTATAAACTCTGTTAAAACACATTGCAAACCATTTGTGCATTGAGGAGGATACACGTATTGTTCCCTCTCAGATATTTCTATTAACTTTTTGATGGTCCCTGTGCTTCTATTCCCTAAATATTTCTACTTCCATTTATTTGTACTTCATTTATCTTGCATTAAAAAAACCCAAACAAACAAAACCCACCGCATGAATAGTTGCTTTCAGAAAATATCTGCAGTCTGTTGATCAGATAGGAAATTAACGTTATATGCAAATACATGCAGCTCTCTTGCCAGCGCCTTGTGGTCTGTACTATTCTCACTCAGAAAGGTGATGTGTCGACAGTTGTTAGTTCCATGTTTGGTCAGTGAGACGTACTATAAATAACAATATATCCAGAGTTATATTAGCTACAGCAAAGAATAATTGTAGTTGGAGACTGCTGGACTAGAGGAAGTTACCCTGCTACTCTCTGATGGATGAGAGGAACACTGGGCAGATTTCCCTGTAGTTACCTTTACAGTTACTTTCTGACATTTCTTTTGAGCATCTGTTAATGCTGAGGCTTGTTGAAGTTGATGGACCCGTGCTTTGTTCAGAATAGCAATCCTCTGCTTGGATTTAATAGAGTACTGTTTTCTCTGAGAAGCTTCGAGAAGACTCCACTTGGATCGTGTAGTTCCATATGTGACTTCTGTTCCACCATGCCTGACCTCCTAGAGCTCAAAGCAGAGTTGCCCATTTACTTCAAACTGGCAAAGTATCGAATCCCTCATTTTTGTAATAAACATGCTGTCTCTCACTTTAGATTTCACAGAGCTCTTCTGTTGCTTGGAAAGACTGAGCTTGAATGAAATAATTTATCCACCTAATGAGTGCCAAACTTGATTTTCCCTGATGAGGACAAAAGCACTGGAGGGGGAGGGGGGTTTCATCTTGTACTCTGTCATCTGGAGAACAAAAAAATTCTATAGAAAGGTTTAAAGCAGATGCAGGAATTGCTGTACAGCCTTCTCTGTTAACCAGCAGGATATTTCAGATGAAATAATGATTTTTATTCTTTTCTAGGGGATCAGTAGCCTCTTCAGTTCCCTAAAAGTGGTGCGTCTTCTACGACTTGGTCGAGTTGCCAGGAAGTTGGACCATTATCTGGAATATGGTGCTGCTGTACTGGTACTGTTGGTATGTGTATTTGGACTGGTGGCCCACTGGCTAGCTTGCATATGGTACAGCATCGGGGACTACGAAGTTATAGATGAAGTCACTAATACAATCAAAACAGATAGCTGGCTCTACCAGTTGGCACTGAGTATCGGGACACCATATCGATACAACACCACTGGCTCAGGGCAGTGGGAAGGAGGACCCAGTAAAGACTCCTTGTACATATCCTCTCTCTACTTTACCATGACAAGCCTTACAACGATAGGATTTGGAAACATAGCACCAACCACTGATGGAGAGAAGATTTTTTCGGTGGCCATGATGATGGTTGGCTGTAAGTAAAATTTTTATTGTGTTTAAGCAAAAGATACTTTTATAGCTAGTGTGATGGTTGCACAGCATCCTTGCTGTAAGCTTTCTTGACATCCTAAAAAAATCTGAAGTACCTGTAAATAATCATGGAATGAACTTGGAATTATTGAAAACAGGAATTGAAATTTTGTAGCTGTTGTAGCTTTTAAATTGTTTGGAAGACTATGTGTAGTATGCACACAAGTGTGCCCAATGACAATTTTATATTGAGTTCAGGGCCTTTCCTTTGTGCTTTAAAGATGGCTTTGATCGTGTCTGAAAGGTCTGGCTGGAATTTGGTTAAAAGTTACAATGTATATTCAAATTCAGGTACCCTGACTGAGTTTTGCTTATAAACTTGCATAGCCTTGGAAACGTTTGAAGTGGTTTTAACCAATTCTCAAAACATCTAGTGATTCCGTAAGGTGATTGTGTACTTTATGGCACTGGTTTGACTTACAAGTCCTGATTTTATCTCCTGAATGTGGTGACCTTTGTCACCAGCAAAGCTAGAAGTGAGGGAAATCGTAAGACACTATATTGCAAATTTTCTCTGCTTCCTGCTGTTTCGCAGCTCCACTGAAATAGTCTAAAAACAATAGTGGAAAGACACGTTTCTCATTTCATGTGCTGCTGAGGTTAGATCATGGAGCAGCTCTCCAGGTTAACAAAAAACCTTCAAAATTAAGACTGTTGAAAATGTTAATATCATTTGGGACAAATATTTTTCTGTTAAATAAATAATGTTTGGTATTTCTCTGGTGCTTTCTATTTTCTGAACTCCATCCAAACACTAAGCAATTATGTAACAAGAGAGCAAACAAAACCTTTTGAAAATAAGATCTGCATAATCTCTCTGATAATTATCTTGGCTAACACTTTGAGCTCATCTCAGAGAAATACTGAACTATAAAAAAGAAGTGTTCTTGCTAAAGTCTTTCTGGATCTTTACAAGATTAAAACCGTTTGTTTGGAGATTTTAAAATGCTTTTTAAAAAGGGAGGTTGCAGTTTTAGGATTCTGCTTGCAGTGTGGTGCAATGAAATTTCAGCTGAACTGCATCTTTACTTGATGGGTCGATCTGTTTCAAAACATTTCCAAGTTCATAAAAAGCAAATCTTCAAGCTAGAGAGTTAAGGTGCTATTGCAGTTAGGCCATAGAAAACCTATAGGTGTTGATTAGCCGTTTGTTGAAACAGCTTTGTGGTACTTACAGAAGACGGGATTTGGAGAATAAAGTGGATCTAGAACATTTTCAGTATTGTAATATTTACTTCCCTTGGCTTTTGTGGGGACTTCTGTTGCCTTGAAGAGGATGGTCCCTCAGAAGGAACTAAGCAGCCGTGATAAATGATTTGGGGTAGAGTGAGAGCCATAAAAACATAAAAAATAATAATAATAACAGCAACAAAATAGATACATGGCCTCAGTAAGTGTAAAGGAAATGGAGCTTATAACCTGCTTTGTATTTGATCTGGGTGGATTGTGCTCTTGCTTTTTCCCTGAAACACGTTAAAGATGTGGAATACACATAGCAGTATCAAAGTTGACATTTACAACAACCTATGTATGTGCCACTGGCTGATTTTAATAGTTTTCATAAATGATACCTGTAGAATTATTAAATATACATGTCAAATTTATAAGTGGTACCTGTAAGCTTAGGATTTGGAAAACCATTAGTAGATTTATAGGCTTTTGGGCAAATTCAAAAATAGAATCTAAAATTCAAGAAACATCACAAAAAGATAGTTAAGTTCCTTATTGAATAAAAATAATGCCATCAACATAAATGTGGTTTCTCTTGTGAGGGGGATGAAGATCATTGTGGCAAACAGGAAGGCTACAGACAGAAGAAATCTTCTTTTTAGATTACTTGCAAGTGTAAAAATGCTCTATTTATGATCAAATGATTGCAAACATATCAATGAAGACTTGAAGATTTTCAATTCATGCGTATCAATGTGATGACTGAAATCTAAAGGAGTTGCTTGATTGATTAAATACTGGTTAGAAAATATGCCAACTTCCAATTAGATACTGGTCATGGGCTTTATACTTGCAATATTTCTGCAAAGAGATCAGACCAGCAGGACTGTATAAACATGCTATGCAGTGCCCACTCCTGAAAACATGACAGCCTAAACACCAAAATGTGACAGGAGGGTACACTGATGGAAAATTTCTCAGGCAAAGTGGCCATTGAGCTTGGGATAAGGATTTGGCCGCAAGAAAATGTGTAAGTAAGAACTGAAAATTATTTGAGTTGTTTTCAAAACGGGATGTTTCAGTTTTTCTTTTGAAATGGTGTTTTGAGATAAAAATTCAGCAAAATTAAATTACACTTCAATTAATAAAATACTCTGGTCCCTGAACTAACTCCTATTATAAGCAGAGAGAGATTGTTAAATACCTTTGTCATTTTCTTGAAGAAGTTTGCTAATACCAATAGTTGATATTGGCAACGTCTTTTCTAACTGGCTGTGCCAAGTAAATGTCTTAAATTTAGCACTGGAATTGGAGATAGTAATTCATCACAATCCCAGCTGCCTACTCATGCAAACCAGATATGAAAGAAAATCTTCACTGCGTTGTCAGCTAGCAGCGGCTTGTTCTCCAAGCCCCAAGTTTCCTTTTCACACTAGCAAAGTTATCAGGATCAGGGAGGAGTATTTGGAGAGATTTGCAAATCCTTCTGGTGGGCAGGATTGCAAAAGGGTGTTCTGGTTAAAAATAGCTGAATTAAGATTCTGTAGCTGCTGATAAAGCATTGCTTGGTGCGGGGTGGTGGCGGGGGAAACCCAAATGAATGGGGATGCTTTTCAGTTTGATTGGCAGTTTGTCACTTGGTTGTTCACTGCGGACAGAATCAGGTGGGGTATTTATACTGAAATACATCACCTGTCTTGCAGGAAAGAGAGCTTTGAATAGCTTAACCTCATATTGTGGAGCTTACTTCAGATCTCTTTTTACCTCACTTGCTCTTTCTTGGTGTTCAGGGCTGTTCAGCAATATTTTTTGTGTTGCTTCCTGACACTTGAAAAGCTAAAAATAGCAGACATAAAGCACCCTGTGACAAAGGAGAAAGGTTTTTACAAGGGTTATTGTTTAAATACCTGTTCTGCATTGGCTGCCTAGAGTTGCTGAATATGCATTGAAAATCTGAATTTTGTAGCTCCTTTTGTGTAGATACAGGTCATTTCATCCCCTCTGTGGAGAACAGTACAAATAGGTGGATCTCTCAGATCCTTTGAATAGATGAGGAATCGTTTATCATTCAGGAAAGACCTTTCTTGTAAACCTCCCATTATCTTCTGTCAGCTCACTGCCTCTCACAAGAAACTCAGTTTCTGCTTTTGCATCTTGCTCTAGCTCAGTCCACAGGCAGGTTTTAGGCTTTTGAAGCACAGGCATAGATATAGATGTAAAACTAACTGATTTTGTGCCTTTCACAAAAAAGGAATGTATTAAGGAAGAAACCAGAAAGATACTTTTTGTTTGTACACCGTTACTATCTTGCAACTCAGCACAGCCAGGACTTCAGCAAGCAGAAACTCTGTAAAAGGGAAGAGGCATTTTGGGGAAGATGGTAATGTGGCAGGGCAAAACAGCATGCAAGAACTCGGGAAAGAAGAGTTTTTCTGAAGAAACAAGTGTGAATCATAGAATCATTTTGGTTGGAAAAGACCTTTAAGATCATCAGCTCCAGCCATTAACCCAACTCTGCCAAGCCTGCCTCTAAACCATGTCCCTAGGCACCACATCTTCACGTCTTTTAAATACCTCCAGGAATGGTGACTCCACTGCTTCCCTGGGCAGCCTGGTCCAATGCTTGACAACCGTTTTGATGAAGAAATTTTTTCCAATATCCAATCTAAACCTCCCCTGGTGCAACTTGAAGCCATTTCCTCTCGTCCTATTGCTTGTTACTTGCGAGAGGAGACTGACACCCACCTCTTATACCCTCCTTTCAGGTAGTTGTAGAGAGCGATAAGACCTCCTTTCAGCCTCCTGTTCTCCAGGCTAAACAACCCCAGTTCCCTCAGCTGCTCCTCATAAGACCTGTGCTCTAGACCCTTCACCAGCTTCATTGCTATTCTCTGGACACGCTCCAGCACCTCAATGTCTTTCTTGTAGTGAGGGGCCCCAAACTGAACACAGTACTCGAGGTGCAGCCTCAACAGTGCTGAGCATGGGGAGAAGATCATCTCCCTAGTCCTGCTGGCCACACTATTTCTGATACAAGCTAGGTTCCTACTGGCCTTCTTGGCCACCTGGGCACACTGCTGGCTCATGTTCAACCAGAACTGAATGTTTAAGCCACAACAGTTTGTGTACTGTTGTATGCCTTCTTTCCTTCTGTGCTTTTACTGGAACAAATGTGGCCAGCTTCCCAGCTTGCAGCTGAAAAGGTCTTTGATACACTTTTGCATGCCTCTTGTGTAACCTGGTGGAATTGATTTGCCCCTGTCCATATGCAAGAATGAAATTGCTCTGAATGACACAGAACAGATTGCAGAGTTAGTCTAACCCTATAGATATGGCATTTAGATGAGTTTATTTGTCTAACTGAGTGGGTCCAACCCACCACATACTTAATCTAAGCAATAACAGAAATCCAGTATATTCTATTGGTCACTGAAATGCTCCGATGATCCTTGCTGCAAGGGAAGGCCAGAACAAGACATGGAAGGCAGGAGTGTCAATGAACGTTGAATATTTCACTGTTTCTCAGGATGTGAAAGTTTCAGAAGAGTCTCTTAGTTAACCATTAGTCCCCAGAAATGCCGAGGAAGGGTGCTTTGTTGTTCTTGCTTTAGAGAGATACTTATATCTCATATACATAGCTTGCTTTGACTTCTATTTACTTCCAGATTTATGGGGAGGTGGTTGTGGGGGAGATACTATTTTTCAATGTCTAGTTTTAAATTATAGTGAAGACAGGCTTGTTAATTCAAATTGGTTTTGTGTAAGAGCAGAAGAATTTGTTCAGGATATCTTGTCTGGAAAATTGGGTCATTTCTGACTGCTATTGGAGCAATTTCTAGAGAACTCTTTCCAAAACTCAGTTTC